AAAATTTAGTTAATAACTACGTTAAAAGTATACAAACTATATTTTAAATTTCTAGCATTCACTAAAAGTGTTGATCAGAGTTATTAGCAATCAAATGTTGCACTACTTTATAGTAGTTTAACACAATTACGCAAATTTTTAGAAGTGAAAGGGTCGTGGAGGAAGACGGCTATATTACACTTAGAATAAATTCTGGAATTTTCAAAAATGGGAGAAGAATTAATAAAATTTAGTTAATAATTATGTTAAAAGTATACAAAATTTTATTAATTCTTCAACCATTTTTGAAAATTCCAGAATTTATTCTAAATGTAATATCGCCGTCTTCCTCCGCGACCCTTTCACTTCTAGAAATTTGCGTAATTGTGCTTAACTACTATAAAGTAGTGCAACATTTGATTGCTAATAACTCTGATCAACACTTTTAGTGAATGCTACAAATTTAAAATAGAGTTTGTATACTTTTAACGTAGTTATTAACTAAATTTTATTAAAATTTATTAGAAGACACTCCGACAGTTCCCTTGTTAGTACGTCTTTGTTTTATACCCGTATAAGCTTGTATATTTATAGTGTTTTATTGTTTAATTAGATGTACTGTACATAGATTTTATAGCGTTGATGCAGTCAACTTATCCTTCTAGTTGGGAGAATGAGAACTTGTGCTATATAAGTGTCATTGCATACATTGCGTGTTTAATGTTGACTTATGAGGGCTAAGTGCCCGAAATGTGTAGAAGTACCCGTATCAACTGAATAAAGATGGAAAAAAGCCAAGTGTTTAATTAATAACACAATCTTGTGTTCAACAGTCCAAAAAAAAAAAAAAAATTGAAACATTTGTCAAATTAACACTAAATTATTTACTGGGATTATCAAAGTTTTGTTTTGAGTACTTGTTTAAAAAAAATAACTCCGCCTGATACTGATGAATGCTTAGATGAAAAAGAAAATCACATGATCCAAGCCCATGATCAAAACAGTTGTTTTGATCATGGTCTCGGATCATACATTTGGGCTTGACACATCTGGGCCCATTAGCTCCAGGTCCTGGCTTTGCTAAACACTTTTTGCCATTGTAATTTTGTCACTGCATATAGTCTATATGAGTAGTAAGTAGATTATACCATATAGGTTTAGCTATGTATACCCTAGATGTTCACTTAATGATAAAGTCACTTAATGATTTATTTCTTAAAACATATCTATTTTTGTTAATTGGCACATACCTGTATTTGTAAGTTTCATCTGGTTATCAAAAGTTCATTATATAGAAATTAAACTATTATTAAATAGGAACAGTTTTAAATGTAAAAAAGATATTGTCATTCCAGGAAAACACTCATTATAAGAAATTCACAATCTAGAACTTCATAATGCAGAAGTCTAACCATACTTTTGATGTTAAAGAATAAATTAATTTGCTATTTGTGTAAAAAATCTTTTAATAATTATATTATATTCTAATTACCTGGATTGTTACATTTCCCAAAATGATGCATTCCCGAATTCTTGTTCCACTTCCAATGATAACATTCTTTCCAATGCTAACATTTGGTCCTAACTTCAATAAAATTAAAATATTTTAATAATATATACACCAATATATAAATTGTTAAATTATTTTCCTTTTCTTAAACTTACAACTGCTGTAGGATGAACTGTTGCTGTTGGATGTATGAAAACATCACCGATTATGGTAGGTTTTCCTTCTCCATTTTTAGCCAACTGATCACATTTGGTATTATGATACAATTCCAAATAGTGACGATTTGCATAAATAGCAGAGCTAAAGGATAAGTAATGAAAATGTAAAGAACAGTTTTAAATCGATAGCATTATAAAATAATAAATATAATAAAATTATAAAATAATAATAGGCATAGTAAAAGGAGGCATACACAAAAATAAAAAATGCTTTCATTCAATATATATATAGGGCAATTCAAAAATAATTATATACTTTTATATGTTCATTAAGAAATAATCAATGAGCTTGACATCATATGATAAGCTTTGATCATTATAATATTTCTTAAAACTTTAAAAATTGTGAAGAGAATTAATGGTGACACCCTATGGCACACATCAAGTCAATAATCAAATGCCACCTATATTTTTTCATGTAAATCTCTCTCTACAGATGTTACTACTATGAAGATTCATGCTTTAATTCCTGATGATAAAGCAACAAGTATAATACGTAGATCATTATAATTTATAATGATCTGCGTATTATACTTGTTGCTTTATCTTCAGGATTAAACCTGTTATGTAGTCTTCAGGAATAATAGCAATGGATTATCATAGTAGTATAGTAGAGCGTCGTTTATCCGAAAGAATTACAGTTGGCAAATTTAAATTTTTGCTAGTGCTGTGGCACTGCAATCTTTGGCTATGCCTTGGGCTATTCAAATATTTTACGTTTTTGATACTAAATTAACTTCTGAAGTATAATTTTTTTATTGTTTTTATATTTTTCAATATATTTATTTTGTTTGTACAAAGTAAAGAAATAATTTTTAACGATACAATAGCCACGATTATTATTTTAAAAAGTTTACGTTAGGCTTAACATAGACAAAAATTCAACGCAAAGCGACACGCAACGGAGAAAAATTTCAGAATGGGATAGGTCAATGTATTTTTTCGTACATAACTGGTTATCCGAAAAATAAGTTATCCGAACAACCCCGGTCCCCAATTGATTCGGATAAATGACGCTCTACTGTAATCCTTCATATGTATCCAAGGAAAAAAAAACATGACATGAGGTCTGGCAACCTACAAGAAGTTTATCTCCTAGGTTACCAGATCAACCCCTTAAGGGAATTTATTTCCTAAAGGAAATTCTAAAAACTACTTAAAAGAATTCACAAGACAAAAGTGAATTCCATTTACTTAAGTAGAATTATTCACGATAGTAATTTTAATATGTGTACCATTTTAAGTTCTGTAACAAGAATAGAGGAAATGGGATTTGCCTAAGCAAAACAAAATAAAGACAAAAATGAATTTTATGCTGTAAAATGTATACTTTTGATGATATTACTAATAATTTTGCAAACACAAAATCGTGCAAATTTCTTATACTTGAAATATTATTTCAACAAATGTATAGTAAATACCATTTATTTTATATTTATTTTGAAAGTGTATGACAATAATTTTCCTTTGAATACACAAAACTCTACTTACAGTATTGTACAAACATCCAAAACTTAAGGATGAACACATTTGTTAGCAATGTTGACTAGAAAATGTCACCAAGCCAGTTTCTGATGAGTTTGCCATGACATTGTGAGCATTGCATCACTGTTTGAGGTGAACATATTCCATACTGACAGATATCTATTCCTGGATTTTGTTAAGCACTTGCCATTCTCCACTTACTTCCAACTGATGTATGTATCTTTATCATCAGAGACTTATTGTAATTGATTTGATTTGTAAAGTTCTGCAAATTGTGTATTACACTGTGTTAGATGCCAACAAATATAGTTCTTGCCATATTTATCTGCATTCTCTCTATTCATGTACTGTACAAATGTCTACTCTTAAGTTTTGGACATGTGTATATATATATATATATATATTATGTGAAGATCAATTTTTCTTAACAAACATAATAAATTGATATAAAATAAAACAGCAAAACTAATATCTAATGTATATATTTTATTGATATATGAACTTTCAGAAAATGTGAAAAAAGTATCAAAGCTTACCCTGCAGTTTTAATCTGGCTCCACCATCGATTCGTGTGAAACATGTAAAGTCGTCCGGTGCCGGCTAAGGGCATTAGAATATCTTGTTCCAGTCTTATACAATCACTATTGTTGTATTCAGTTATATATTCTTCGCTACCTCAACATGCAACATAACACAGTACATTCAATTGCTTTTATCTCAATAACAGAATTATTTAACAAAAGTTTAGAATTTTCTCAAAAATTGCATAAAAAATAATAAACTATATGTATTTAAGTCTGGAAAATGTAAGATTTAATGGCTGAAATCATTTACATCATTATTCTTAAAATGTAAATTTACTAAATAAAAGGTATTGACTGGATAATTCAGGAAGTTGTGGTATCGGCCTTCAGCTCTGAGGATCCAGAATCAAATCTGAGTCCCCAGCTTGGTTTACACTGTCGTATGAACCCACTATGAATGAATGAAATGAACACTAACTGAAACAAAATATTGTCTGCATCATACTACTTGACAAAACTGTTAAGATGTGATTGGCTAAAAAAGTTCAAACACTAGTTGTAAAAAGCTGATTGTCAAATGATCAGTAAATGCTCAGAAATTCTTGACTCCTAACAAACTGGTCAAACTGAAGAGGATGAACTGGCAGTTTGTATCTACTTAGTGGTTCGTATGCCAATATGATCCTAGCTTTAAATTTGGAATGGCTAATAACTATACCATTTACTCTATCGTACATCTTCCTGAAAAAAGCCATAGAAAACAGTGACCATTGAATGATCATTAATTTGATAAATTTTATTTGAGCTTATTCATTATAAACTGAAGTGTATGTTTTCAAATATTTTTCACGAGGAAAGAGTTAAACTATAAACTATCCGTGTTAAATGATAAATTCAAATGTTTAGATTTGTTTTAATTCACATTAATAATTATGTTCTTCCAAAGAAAGAAGTGAATATTGGAAAGCAAAATATACAGTATTTGCTCTGAAGAATGAGAAATTGTGGAATCAGAGTTAATTAATATTCTCATTTTTCATCATTAAACATGATTAAATCATATACATTGTAATTTATTACAATAACTTCTATACAATCAACCATTAACTCTTATATTCTCACCACTAACATAATTATTAATGTATTTATTATACAGTAAATTAAAATATGTACAAATTAATTTTTTAAATTTCATAATAAAAACACAAGGTATGAGAACAAAGTAATGAGAATGATTATTTTATTTATTTATTTTAACTTTATGCTCCATATTCTACATTTATTAAATGTTTAATTATGTCGGCCATGTTTTAATTCGTTATTTTATTTAATATGTATAAATATTACCATACAAACAATACCAGGTTCTATCTTTACCTACACTCTGTGAAAAAAGTTTCAGTGCATCCTGGGCTTGCTAACCAATGTATTTAGTGTAAATTTTGTGCCCATTTGCTCTCAACACCCTGTGCAGCTGCACAGTTAAATCATACCTTGAGCCAGCACCATTCAAAAGCTTAGTGAATCTCATTAGTCTATTACAGTAACATCATAAGTACTTGGTTGCAAATTCTTGAAAGACAGCTGAACAACTTTTTCTCAAAGTGTTGCATTTCTGGTGCTTTAAACATTATTGAGAATGATTGCACATGGGAAGATACATGCATAGAATCCAGTGTTGATCCAGAAGAGCCTAATACAGAAAATAAAGAGGTTCCTACTTTGATACAGAAGACAGTGACATGTAAAGTTTACTTTATTTGTAATAAATTCGTCTTACGCTGTCTATTTTTTCAGAAAAAAAAATCTATGGGTGAGCATGTCGAAATTAACATGCATCCAAGATTTAATAGCATCTTACATGTGAGAAAATATGGTAAGTCACCATTATTGCAACATCATGATTGTTATTACTACATTTCATACAATTACTAATGCTTAAAAGTTAAAAAAAAGTATTAACTTTTTCAAACTTTTTATGGAAAATTTATTATCTTTCTAAAACTCAAAAGGTTTTCCTAGTTAATCTCATTACTTTATTATCATTTCTTTACACAGGCAGACATCACTTAATGATGGTTGTGTATAAGAAAATGAAACTGAAATAATCATAGCTGCCTGTACCTTTTCTCTACATATATACTTATCATTGTGCTACACATAACTTGTACGAAAAGTACCCCTTTAAAATACATTAAGAAAACACTACAGATATATATATATATATATAGTGTTTACTTAATGTATTTTTCAGAACTTACCTCCATCATTAAGTGACACATATTTGTATTAAGATTTTTAATAAACAGAAAAAACTCGTATAATATTTTTAATCATTATTTTATGATAAATAGTTATAATTTATATTTAAATATAACAAGAAATTTATTAATTATATATATTAAGACATATTTCAATTATAGACAGAAAATACAGAAAAGAAAAAGAAATACCATACCAGTAGATGAGTTGCAAGCCCATAAGTTACTAAAGGAATGCAAAGGATAAAGAAGTATTATGAATAAAGAAGCATTTTCATTTTAATAATATAATTTTTAAGATAAAAATAGAGAAATTCAAAGATATATTTTAAAAATATAAAGCTAATTAATAAAGAATACAAGTACAGTTATAACAGTTTCTATGCATAAAATGATATTGGACAAATGGAAACTATTTAGTCATTAATTTCTACTAGGAAAATTGTACTTACTTTAACTAGAAAATAAAAGAATTACTTCAACTATACTTTTCATTTGACTACAGTAGAACTCCAATTATCCAAAATAGAGAGGTTTATCCTTATTTAGAATAAATAGATTTTCAGATAATCCAAAGATTTAATTTTCAGTATAAAAGTGCAAAAAAAACAACATATACATCCCAAAACACATTTAAGTAATTACTTGTATTAACAACATTAAAAATTATCTAATTGTTTTGATTGTACTTTGTTTGGTGATAATTGTGTTTCATACATTCAAGAACATTTTGGTCTATTGGCTGTACTAAGTCGATAACATTAAGGAGTAAAAACATTGAACAAACATCATCATCTTCTAGAAACTCGAATACGATTGGGCATTGTCTATTGATAAAATAGTCTTTCTTGCTAAATTAAAAATACATTAAAAATAAAATAAATACAGACTGTTTCAGTTAATCCAAATTACACAGATAATTGAAATTCTACTGTAGTTCAGATAATTAAAATTCTACTGTAATACATATTTTGTATTGTCCAATGGTTGCATAAATTATGAAAATATACAGAATAAAGTAAACAAAGGATAGTCATTTAGGAAGTGTTTCAGTTTTTATGCTTGATAAAAAAAAAAAAAAAAAATTTTACTTAGTAGACCTTGATCCAAATAAAATTTATAATTTAATAGTAAAATCCAATTTTACATCCAACTGACATTATTTTCTCAAACAGTAAGGTGTATATAATATTAGTATATACAGTACAATAAAAAACACCTTACATACTTGTATTACCAAACAATCTGCTGGATTATTTATCAGTGGCTAACTGCTTATAGATAATCCAGAGATGCCTTATTTTGGCTTGACTGTCTATGTCTAGCCAAATTGATTTATATCCAATTAGTTATTAGCCTTAATATTGCTTGAGAGATAATCTGCCAGATCATTTCGCAAGGTAATTCATTCTAAAACCTTTTGTTTTACTTCAGAACTGAATGGCTACCCCTAAAGAAGATACATGTTGGAGGTTATGATCTTGAGTACCTTGTAGTGAGGGTGCTTAATGAAACTTTCAGTGTAAGATCAGACTATGAGTGTATCAATATTTTGAATGTTTGATTATATAGTAAGATAGAAATTACTGTATTAAGTCATCAGAAAGAGTTTAATTTCAAAAAAATAAATTCTTGGTATAATAAACTATATAAAAGTTTACAGAACTTGGTACCATCTTTGTAAATAAATCCCTTTAATGTCAGGATGCCAATTTTTATTAATTAAAAGAAAAGTTTTTGGTCAAGATTTCACCACTTTCAGCTTACAATCTTATATTTAACAACTTAGAATAATGTGACATAGAATATACAAATTTTAGAAAGTTGGCCTCCTGAAATTAGCAGTGATTTATTAGTTTATTTAGACTATATAAAGTATTATAAAAATTATATCACCTTAAAAAAATTGAATAATACTTTATTAGAGAGGTTTCTGAGCTTTATTATAATACTGTTAAAAATAAAAACTTGTATGTTACAACATACATTTATTTCACCAAATGGTTTAAACAAAACAATGATGGCCAGATGGCTGAGACAGTTTAGTTAGTCTGCCTACCGCTCTGGGGAATCTAAGATTGAATCTGAATAGCAAAAAATTCCAGAAATCTTTTGAGTATGGCCCATCTCAAATACATTGAATCCCATCCCTCATCAAATACATTGAATCCCATCCCTCATCACTCAGTTACCTCATTGTGGGCTTTGCCAAATCCATGACAGGTATGATTAAAAAGCCTCTTAGTACCAACCAAGTAAAAAGTATAAAAAACAAAAGCTTTATTAGTAAGAATTATTGCTAATGATATGAATAATGTTATAAATGATCAGAGAAAGATTCAATTAATCATAATTTAATGTATATTTCTAGCATTCATATATATGTTTATTTGTTTTTCATTTTAAATAAGGAATAAATGCATGTTGTCTACAATCGATCCTAATAATTTTAAATTTTTATAAGAAAAAAATAAACTTTTATTTAGAATAGTTATAAGATATCTTAATACAGTTTAATCTCTGCACAACAGCCACTAATGAGAACATAAAAAATGGTTGTTGTTGGAAGGTAAGCTGAAAATTCCACAAGTTGAAAATTGAAGAATAACTTAATTCATTACTTTTAACATTGTAGTAAAAATTTTTGTACAAAATTCCTTCTCTAAAGCACAAAGAACTGCTAAAAACACACATAGATTGATTGTTTATTGTAGGCTATAATCCACTATTGACCGACAACAATATATACCTACCATTGTAGGTGTATGTTAAAAAATGCAAAGGAATGTCCTCTGCCAGTGATAATAAGTAAAACATTTCTTCCTAAAAAACACCTAAAACATGTTCTTTGGTGTTTAAATTTTTTATTATCACCACTGGCATAGTATATTTCCTTTTTTACATACTTTTAATGTAAATTAGCCTATAACAAAAGTTAATTTATGACTGTGATTTTAGAAGTTCTTTCTGTCATATTTAAAATACATACAATTTTAAGTTCAAAACATCTTAAATTAAAAACGATATGGATTATAAGCATAAATAAAACTATTATTAATTCATTAAGAATGAATAATATATGTAAAACTTAACTTGTGAATTGTATAAAAACATATTATAATTATAATGTTAAAGTTTGGAAATAATTTTTACCCGTGATGATAATCATATTGTTTCTGTTTAAAGATTGTTGCCATATGTTGGAATATATCTAGAGAGCATAAGTATACTCCACAGTTGATATCTGTGCTAACAAACGTAGATGGCTTTTCGACATAATGAATTATCTGGAAAAAAATTTGTGAATATTTTAGTTTATAAATATTAGATATTAATGACTAATTCACTAACTTCATAGTTAGAAATATAAACATCTTAAAACCCAATTATTAGTTTAAAGCTAAATGACTGCCAGATTATATCAGGTTATATTAATTAATGCTAATATTAATTTAATTATTATTATTAAATTTATCAAGAGATGCACCTAGTGCCCACCTCTAGTCCAAATTACTTAACATTTAATTAATTAATATTAGCATTAACCTCTAGTCCAAATTACTTAACATTTAATTATTGATAGTAGCTAAATTCTAAACATGAAGCCAAATGATTTCTGCATTATATTGCAGAAATCATTTGGCTTCATGTTTAGAATTTAGTATGGTAAAATCACCAATGTTTGTCTCATTAATTCTACATGATCCTTCTTACAATGTACATTATTGTAGATCAAATTTTCTTTTAGACAATTTATATTATATTGTTACACAGTTATACAGTCATAAAAGCATAATATTCATTTTGAAAAAATTCAAAAAAGTATCTTGCTGTGACCAATTACAAGGTGGTACATATATATGCAATTAATTAAGTAGTAAATTGACTATTAAATACAATTTATAAAATGTCTTCCTTAAAACACAATCAAAGTCTATAGAAGTTCATAAAATTACAGTGTACAGCCACTGCTGAAATTTCTTTCCTTTTGTCTCAAAAACATTCCTGAAGAATCTGCAGGTCTTTATTGGAGAGACAAACTATCTTTAGTTGTTCTCCATATTGCAAAGTCTGTGGGGATTTAAATAGGATCAATATGGGGACCATTTGATACCACTTCATGAGTGAAACTGCCGTGATATACATAAGCATTACCCTGTGTGATCATATAAACACAAGTAATGATGTAACAAAGAACATTTTAATACAAGCAGATTAAAAAAGATAAGGTCGAAATTAGTGACTTGACCATCTGGCATTGAGGTGTGTTCAAACCAGGGCTGTGAAGTCAGAGTCGGAAGGAATTTCTGGCCAGAGGAGTCGGAGTCAAAAAAAATATGTCAACTCCGACTCCAGAATTTTAAATTTATTTAAAGCTTTTAATGATTTATTTAATTGCCTTAAATTAAAAAGCAGTAGATGTATACAAGGCTGCGGAGTCGGAGTCAGGAGGAATTTCTGGCCATAGGAGTTAGTCGGAAAAAGTGTGTCGACTCTGACTCCTTCATTTTAAATTTACTTAGTTTTTTTTATTTAAATGAAAGAAAATTAATTATATATTTATTAATTTTTTAAAATCATTTTGTATTTTGTTATAATTCATTTATTTTAAATACAAAATGCATCAATTTACTTTATTAAATATGTAGTATTCTTTGTAGTATTTTTGTTTAGTAGTTAAATTATTTTGACTCAATTGAATTTGAATATTTTTGAATCATTCCTTTATTATTCCTGCTCTTAATAAGTACTCTACTTTTCTGAACGAGCCAAACTAATTGATCAGAGTACATATTTTTCTTTTCTGAACAAGAGGCTGAAGTAACTAGCTTGATCATACACATTTTTGTTGGACTGACTATTCTGGAAGGGTGAAATTGAAGTGCAAATGCTGTCGAATATATGTAGATGTAGAATTTTATCATCCTCTTTCTCCTCTTATTAAATATTTGTTAAAAATTAATTTTTTATACAAATAAACATTAATGTAAGTGAAATATTAAAAATATTAACTATAAAAGTATTTGGATAAATGTCCCAGGCTCCTTTCAGAATTCAGAGTAGGGTACCCCCTATGAGCATCTCTGCTTCCCATAAAATGACTTGGTATTTAATTTTGCCGGAGTCGGAGTCGGCCTACTAAAATTATTAGGAACCAAAGTTGAGTGTTTTTTTACCAACTCCATAGCCCTGGTTCAAACAGAGATTGACAGATAGCAATGTGAGTAAATTTACTAAATACCAAACTGACTATTAATTACCAATCCAAAGCAATAGTTAGACTTGCTATAGTCTAAAATTAATCATCATTTAGTGACTTTCTATTTGTTCTAGGAAGATTATGAATGAACACTGATACAATGCAACAACTTTACTTATTCTATAAAATGCTTTTTGACTCTTCTTCACTCATCAACGTGGTTCTTTGCAATACAAATCATTTAGTGACTTGTTTAGTATAAAATTGTATTTGTTTATATATATATATATAAATAAACAAATACAATTAACAAATGAATTTTGTCAAACTTTTATAAATCCCAACTGTATGTTAAGTTAGTAGCACTTTTAACCCTAAACCTTAAAACTTCATATTATTATAAATGCAGCATTTAGTATTTGTAGTAGCCTAATTATTAATATATAAATAAATAAAATCTAACAATTTTTTTCTAAATAATAGTAAAAATTACTATATCCAAGCAGAAAGAAAATTCTGAAGTCTTTGAAATATAAAGGCTTAATATCTAAGCTGGTATATTTCAAAGATTTCAAAGAAACACAAAGAAAAAAATGTAAAGAAACTAAACCAAAAAAGTAGGATTAACCAAAAAAAAGTGTATCAAATCTCATCAAATAAAATTAATAATAGAGTTAAGAAAGCTATTATTTAATAGAAATTAGTTCACTCAATTAATTACAATCTTTTATAGCAACAAAAATATTTAATAAACATTTTTGATGTTGTAAAAGTTTGTATGTAGTTGGTTAAGTGATCTACTGAAGCAGTTATTTTATAAATAATAAAAATTAGATTTAAATATCAGAATAAATGAGTTCTTATCTTATCTCCAAAGTTGCATAAATATGACTTTAGATATTTTCATATATTATTTTTTTGACTAGGATATTGATTAGTGGAATAATATTAAATTTTAATAGTTTTTGTAAGGAAAAAAAATTCATCAACATATGCATCTGTTCATTAATTAAACTGGCCATATCGTCTCTAATAAAAAGTTTTTCATTCAGATAGGATGCTTAAACCTCACAGTTTTAGTTTCAAGTTATGTTTTATTATTCACAATTCAAACAATAAGTAAAATTAATACATGTTAATAATCATATCACACAACCAGATTAAGTTTATTATTAATATATAGCAGGGATGGACAAGCTTTGTCACAACAGAAGCCATATATCAGAAATAGAAATATTGCTTTATTCTCTATTAGAACAGTATTATATATATTTTAAGTTTATAAAAATAAATTATATAAGTAGGCTNGTTCAGAATTCCTAGAAGTTGAAATGTTTCCAAGAAAACAACACACATCAGGGAATGATAGATTGAGGTTTTTCACAGTATATTATGTTCTTTCTGTAACTATTATTACTATTATAGTAGACTCCAATAAGTCAAACTTAACTCAAAATTCTAAGTTGAGTTTATTATTTTTGTCTTAACTCAATTTTTACAGACTCAATGCATTTCATGTTTCTATAAGTCAGTTTATTAACCCAAATTTAAGATCTGGATACTTTATTTTAATTTTTTGTGCATTCTTTTGCATTTTCAAGAGGATGGATGATGATGATGATATTAAAAAGCTGAAGATTGGTATTGTATAGAATTACTCTTATATTGTAGGACATAGGACATAAAATTCAAATGATATTTTGTGCCTAAAGTAACAGCTTTATTCTTAAATGCAAATTGATCAATCAAATTTTAGTTCTTTAAAGTAATTATTTTTCAGATGTTTAGATTTTAAAAGTTTAAAATGTAACGAACACGTCTGTGATTTGACAGCTTAGTTATTGGTCAATTAAATTTATGAGTTTGCCTATGTATATTTTCTTATTTAGATTAAACATTTATACCATATAAATTTCACTGTAAAGTTTGAATTGCATGTTGACATTTTTTACTGATAGTGACCAGTTAATCAGTATATTGACCATTTTCATTTGAAAGTAGATAGAAATAGCAAACACAAGAAACTAAAAATTTTGTTTATCACAGAAGAGGTATAAAAATAAAAAAATTAGAAATTACAATAGAATTTGTCATACCCTTGAGTGTTTTCTCTGTATATATGAAAAACAAGAAAAGGACTTTAGAAAGTGTCAATGAAAAATAGAATTAGACAAAACAAAAAGCATAAATACAAGTATCCAGATGCTGAATAGCCTCTAAAAAGTAATAAAGTATAATGTATTTAAATCTATTTGTATTGTTTATATTGTGATATTTATGATCTCATTAAAATAATGGTAGTTTCCATAACTCAAAAATCTTTCTCTTACCCTTCCACTTTGAGGTATTGTGAGAATACTATAGATACTATAAATTATTTTCTTTATAATTTTGAATGTTATAAGTTTTAAATATCAAGATTAGTGTTTATTATAATAAATGATGTAATTTGACCAGATGACTGAGCAGTTAAGATGACAACCTAATGTTATGAAGGACCTGGAAGAATTGAATCCTGTCAACAAACCCCAGGAATTTTTCTGAAGTTTTTCAACCTGTCAGGATTTGATGTGGTCTGTTCAGATATGTTGGGTCCCATCTATGTGGGCCTAGTCTAAGCCATACTGAGCTTGTTAAAAAGGCCCTCTTGGTGCTACAGTATCGAAAAATAAACATAAGCGATGTAATTCAATATATTACCTTTATTTCAGCATTACAAAGTAACCATTGCAATGATGTATCAATTGAGTTCATAGGAAAAATGATTCTGTTGCAACTTTACATTATAATAAGTTATATAAATTACTACAAAACATAATTTTGAGATAAATTAGATCTACATTTAGGCATTCTGATTATTTCAAACATACAATAAAAAAATAAAGGAAATATAATAAAAAATTACCTCATGTGTTTCTTTGTTTTCCACAATACAGCCATAATTTAAAGATTCTTGTCTTGTTGCCTATGTAAATTAATTTCAATTATTAAACTCCAGTTCATTAGTGATTATTTTTAATAAATCAAATATATAGTCAGCTTTAATTTAGAAAACATTAAGTTATAAATAAATCTATAGACAAACAGAAGATAGTGTAAGGATTACATTAGAATGGATCGATGAAATAAGGCAATGCAACAAATAGGCAGTCTGCCAATAGTGTGTCTCTCTTGGCAGACTGTCTCCATAGGAAACTGGTCCCTATTTAGGTATTACACATGATAAAACCTGAAAAACACCATGCAACCAGCCCATTGGAAAAGTTCTAAGCAACTACTAGCATTCAGTGGGATACTATAAAGAAAACACGCCTTACAAAATTCTACTTTTAATTTAATAAAATAATTAAGGTATCTAAAAATTCACTGAGAAGGTTGGTTGTTTTGAAGTTTGGAGAGTTCATCTGCTACAATTACTCAAGGAGATAACACTGACCATTGGAGAATTAGTTCTTCTTAGATTTGTTTTTTATTGTGAAAATTGAAGTATTTTTCCTCCTTTAGATTCCTTTGTAATTTATTTTTAGCATTGGATTTTACAATGCATACTAAATCTTATAAATTTATTTTAAAAAATGAAAATTTTAAAATTTATTTTAATCTATGTATATTTGATGGATAAAACAATTATTTTCTGCTATTTACCACAGATATTTTCGAAGTAACAGTGAATATTAGATGACAATATTAAATATCTGTTGTAACATTAAACTCTAATGCTAAAATTTACTAATAATATTAAATATTGTTTTACAAGTATTGAAGTGAAAAATATAAAAATGCTTGGTCAAAGTATGTTTCAAGATAAAAAAAAATGCAGTTACTGTTTATTAAATTTGTATTAAATTTACTTTCAGAAATTATATGATATAATTTTAGAAAGTGATGCATAATAATTTAATTACTGTTGAATTGACAATTTTATAATTATATTATTTTTCTAAATAATAACAATAATTATATATTTTATTATTTTTCACACATAAATAATAACAATTATTATAATTATTAACTATATGTGAAAATAATGAAATAAATTATCCCATTCTTTTTCAACTTTAAGAAAAGAATTAGCCACATAAATCACATACAGAAATTTGAAGTAAATTCATAAAAATAATAAGTAAATAAATTAATTTTTTAAGAAATGAAGATAACATATAAATTTGATTAAAAAGAGTACTTTTGTTCAATCTAAATTCAAGACATTATCAATTATTTAGACCAGTGGTTCTGAAAGTATGGTCTGTGGACCACTGGCACTGTGCAAACTGACCTAATAATTTTTCAAAAATGCAATTCTGAGCAGTTTATCCAAAGGAAAAAGGCATTTTCACACTCTCTTACATCAGGTTACCAGATAGACAAACTATTATGGAATACATCTAAGGTGATATTTTACGTAATAACAAATGGTTGGGACATAGGTAGTCTGCAGTTTATCTGTGGCTTAGTTTAAGAGGTCTGTGGCTCAAGTAGTACCTTTGAGAATCATGATTTAGACTAATCAGAAAGACAGCATCAAAGATTTGTTATTCTATTTTTCTAATTGTCCTAAATCATTGATAATGTCTTAATCATATTATATTGAAATACTCTTTTTAAACAAATTTGGTATGTTTATATATCATTAGTATATGTTTATGATAATTTCTTTAAAAATTTAGTTATAACCTAACTTATTAAGTTAATTGTTTTTCTTTTTGATCTTAAGTTTATTCTCTATCCTACAAGTTTTTAAAAATCTAAAATTGAACTTTAAATCTGAAAATACTACAGTTAACTGTGATATACTTTTTGCTTCAATAAAACAATTCTAAGAATTTTGCCATTAAAGTTTGTTATTACTTGTAAATGTTCACATGTCACAAATAACCAAAATTTTAAAAATGAGTGATGGATTCAATTGGTGAGATATGACAACATGACACATGGACAATTTGCTGAGATGGGGTGCCTCTCAGGAAGAATTCTATAGGATAATGGCCCCTACTTGGTTGTTAGACATGTGAAGTAAACCCATAAACTCCATACAGCCAGCCTGTTGAATATGTTTGAACCTGCAGTCACTGAACACAAATTGTGGGTAATGCCACTATCTGTGTTCAGAGGCATTACCCACTTGGCAAGTGGTGGACCAAAAATGAATGATTTTATTTCTTAAAGTTTATTAAATATGTTAGTGATGTGAAATATTAGTATGGATGCATATGTACTAATAAAAAAATTAACTTTTTTGAAACTACTCAATTCAATAATATATGCCTGATTAAATTAGTTAAGTGTGAAATATGGTATTAATAAATACGTCTTTATTACCTCAGTCCCCATAACGGTTATTAAACTCTTTCCTGCTTTGTTTTTATGAAATTCTATCATCTGCATAAGGGGAAAATCACCACACACATCACCATTAATAAGAAAAAACGATTCTGGATCACCTCTTCTTATCTGATCTCGAAAATGATAGCAACCACCAGCAGTGCCCAAAGCAGTATATTCTTGTAAATATCTGAACAAATATTATAGAAATTAATAAAACAAATAATAAATTTCAAATTTATAAAATCAGAAAATATATTCCATGCATCTTACCTTATATTTACATTGTATTCTTTTGACATAGATGCAGCAGACTGAACAAGTGATTCATCTCCTTGATAAAAACCAATCATAAGAATTTCTGTTAGATTTGGCACTCTACAACATGCTTCAATTAAATGATGTACCATTGGTTTTCCAGCAACAGGAAAGAGTGGTTTCGGGAGATCAAAAGATAATGGTCGAAATCTTGTCCCTATCAAAGAAAAATTTATATTTTTATTCCACAAGTATTAATGTAATTTGTACTTATAAACATTTTATCGTCCTATAATTTCATACATTTCATAAAATAGAAGTAATTTTATAGAATTTTAAATCATATGCTAACTTCAGATCTATCACAATATTCATGTTCTTTAACTCTTTCTGTGGGTTACTAAGAGGACCAATTTTTTCGTAATCATCACAGGTTCCGCAAGATCCACAATAAAACACAAATTTGAGGGACATAGCCTGATATATCCAAAACAAACTACCATGAAAATTTCCTGGAAAATTGCTTGCTTTGATTAAATTCCCAGTTCCCCAGAGCAGTAGGCTAACACCTTAACTGCTTATGCTATCCAGCAGCCAAATATTTTGGATTAGTGTCATATAACAAAGGCTTACAATATTATATTACTGTACCTTAAATCATTATTATATTTTCCAATTATAACATGTAGATATTTAAAACATTTTTTTACATTTAAAATTTACATTTATCATCACAAATGGATTAATTAAGATACACTTCAAGAAATTTCAAAGCAGAGGTGTATGAGACTAACTGAAACCAAATATAAATAATAATAATAAATGGTTTGTCAGTACTAAATAGCAATTTTTATTTCCTAAATCACTTCCAGGTAATCATTTAACAGAGGAATGGACAAATTCCAGATCACAGTAAAGATCAGCACTGTAGAAAGGGTGGTGCAGGCAGCAACCATGCACCACATGTCGAGTTAACAAGAACGCCAATAGACCTAAATCTAATAAAATTTTCAATACTTTTATTTTTTCTGAAAATAAAATATAAAAATTATGGTTTTTAATTACTTGTTATACTGTAGTATTGGATTGGTACATTAGTATATTAGTGTTTAATAAAAAGAGAGCCAGTGGCTAAGCAGTTCCCTTCCCCGAACACTGGGAGTTCATTTGTGGGTTTGCTCCTGGTCTGGACGAGCTGTCCACGTGGAGTTTTCCAGGTTTTCTCCATGTTGGTAATGCCCGAATAGGAGCCAGTTACCCTTAAAAAGAGCTCTTGGAAGGCTCCCCCAGGCAGATCACCCGAGTGTTGTATTGCCATAACTTAATATAACTTACTAACTAATAAAAAAAGCATTGATTGAGAGAAGAGCCAAAAATTTTATTGCTCCAGGCACAAAATCAGTTGCTGCAGTTCTAGTAAAGACAAAAGTTGGAAAAAAAATGTTTTAAATGTTGACATTGTTTAGACAAACTCTTGCATCATCCCAATGATAAGCATACACCACCTGCTGAGTTTAATCGGCAACTCACATTTTTATGGAAAACATAAAAATTGTTTATTTGTTTTAAAACTAAGGACACAATTTTCAGTTAAATTATAGATACATATACTGTCATGGCGGCACTTCCTGTTGCGACTAGCCTCACTCCCAACGCCTTGGCTATTTGGAGCCAAGTGTTGTCACGTGACGATCCTACTGGACTGTTGTTCCGTGTAGTTTGAACCAGGTGGCACTCATAATATCTGCTGTTGATGCATGTGCATTTTGCTGGTGCAGTCGATTTGAATTTGCCATGTGTTTGTTGCATTGTTCGACTTTCGAAACGGATTTCAAGAATTTAACGTCCAGGAATTTCTTTCGTTGCTTGGAATTGGATTATCCGGACTTAAGTATTAATGTTAGGATACCTTCTGATATAAAATTTGCGATTAAGATGGGTTTGCAACTGGTCGACGCAAAGTGTGGTAAGTGCCATGTTGTTCGTAAAATAAGTTATAGAAAAGACACTAATTCGGTTTATTTTCATATCATACGTTAATACTAAGTGCAACGTTAATACTTCGGCATTCGAAGGTACTTTTGAGGGTAAATTTGCTAAGGTATCGTGGGGAACGATATTCACTTTCGTCTGGCACCTCATTTGCATAGACAGTTCGTTGGAGTCTTCGTGTTTGGCTGTTGCAGTAAGTTGTATTGAAAGGTTGTGGGGGATTCTTAAGAACAAAAAAAGAAATTTGCCCATTCACTACACGTAGGAACTTCGCGATTCCTATCTATATACCTTTATGTATAGAAAGTTTCTAAAATGGAAAAGTTTGAAGCCAGGCAAACGTTTTGAAATTTTTTTTGTCAACATTTAAGAAAAATTTTTATCCAGGAGCAGGCCGCGTGCCTGAATGGAAGAAGCCAGAAACCATTCCAGCAGCCCCGGAAGCGATACGAAAGTGTGCAAGCGGCACGTAGAGAAAAAAGGAGGAAGAGCACCACGATGGTTCAAAGTAACAATTACTGATGAAAAAGGATAATACCGAAGTTTGCCAATGTAACACTCGGTCCAAAAAGTGTGTTAAAGTAAAATGCACTTATAATAATTTGTTTAGAGAGATTTATTTATTTATTTATTGATTTATTCGTATGTTATTGTTATTATCGCATTAGTATTTTAGCAAAGTTAGTTAGTTATTATAGCATTAGTATAAGTTACGTTAGTCTATCGTGCGCAATCCAGTCCGGTAGGGTCGTCACGTGACAACACTTTGCTATAAACAGCCAAGGCGTCGGGAGCAAGGCTAGTTGCAGCAGGAAGTGCCACCATGACAGTATATGTATCTGAAATTTAACCCAATTTTCTTTATAAGAACACACAAATCATTCATCTTACTCCAGAATCATTAATACTGAGTATGCAGCAGAACCAGATTTGCACATAAGCTAAACAAGTTGCATTTTAGCCTTGCATTATGAGCCTAAACCTTAGGTTGACATTTGGTAGAAGGACGTGTTATATATTATAGTTTAGGACACAAGTGTAAGTCCAGCCTAATATACAACATTACACAGCAATGCAAAATGGTGTTATTTGTATAAATCACTTACTTTTATGGAATATTCTACAATATTTGAAATTTATAATAGAAAAATATTTAATTCTGTGCTATTAATATTGACAGAATTTAAAGTTACTTGACAGACAGTTTAAAACTCTACAATTTTAAATATCATTACAATTTTATTAATAAAAAGTGAGTATTTATTAAGTGTTATGTAAATAATCACCTTTCTGAGGGCCACCAATTAATATTACAGCCTTCAACATAGCCTTTAATTTCTCTAACCACCACGTTTGTTTTTGTACAACGTGGACATTTACAATTCTATTACGATTTACATTTGTCGTTTTCACCCCTAGCGGAGAAATTTTGTAATTGTAATTTCAAAAATTAAAAAAATATTTTTTTTAAGGAAAATAAAATTGATTATTTTTATTATATTACATATATTATCCGCTGAAATTATGTAATTTGTAGATAAAATTGAGAATTTTTTTAACCTTTTGTGTCCTATAGACACTTTTAGCAAGCCCATTATAGTAAGGTGACCAACTATTTTACAATGAAAAGGAGAACACAAATAAATTGAAGGAAAAAATAGCTTAATAAAAGAAACATTTTATACATTGCAACAATATTACACTATAATAGTATCTACTGCATGTGTATGTGCCGTGTAATATTTCAGTAAGAAGTAAACAAAGTCACTTCCACGCGGCGCGCTCTCTCAAAGTCTTTTGTGCGGAGCGCATGTGTCTCATAATCACATCTTGTCGCACTGTACCAAGCCTTGATGAATCATCACGTTAAAATAGTACTGTATCGGGTGAATACTATTTTACCACAGCTTAATCCATGCTGAATATTACAGCGTTTAAGTGCCGCTCCCGATTTCAGACGGTAAAAGTAAATGTCTTATGTGGCTCCACAAATGCTCAATGATTATTGGGCCACTTATCTACGAAGACTAGGTGGAAGAAGTATGGAAAACGTGACAGAGAATTCGTGGGAAACCGGCCGCCTAGCATAATCTTTGCAGCCTTGTCATGAAAAGCAATGTATGAAGACGTAGGATTTCATTCGCTGTGCCATCAATGTCTCTGGCACCATTTTAGGGCTGGTCAACTGTCATACGAATGCCTCCCCAGACCAAGTACACTGAAAATTGTAAGCCACTGCGAGCCTTTGGGAGGAGGAGTAGAGATTTTAAGATCTTATGGTACATTACGTGCCGTGCAAAGAGACACAATTATTACAAATTCCTGTTTGGACTTTCATAAATATAGATGCTATTACTTTACAATAACTGAATAACTCGACATATGTAAATTTCATTTTTATAGTTTTATTTATTAGAAAAACAGGATTATTTTAACTTTTTAAGTGAAATATTTCAAACCGATTAATATTTTTACATAACTCGCGACGTAAAAATATATTCTAACAATACGTAACGCGTTGTTAGAATGTATTGTTCCCTTTTTCTATTGTAGGTAGCCGATTTTTTCCAA